GAAGTTGGTTAATGTTTAATGGCTGGAGAGAGAACAGCGTGTACCAGCTGGAGAAGGATAATTGACAAGGGCCAGTTGGGCAAACTTAATCTAGGTCTAACCTAACCTTCGGCTAACGTAATCTAGCCTAACCTAACCTAACCTAATGAACAAATCCACAAGGGACGTGACGAGGATTCGAACCTGCGTCCGGGAGCATCCCAGACTCTGCCTTAATCGACTGAGCTACGACAGGGTTTGTGGATTTGTTCATTTGATGCATCACGTTAGTGAGATCTCTGTGTGTGTATCCTAACCTAACCTACGGCTAACGTAATCTGACCTAGGTCTAGCCTATGCTCGGGCTAACCGGACAATACCTACCCTAGGCTGATCCTAACCCCTAATCCTACTGTTTTTACCTAGCTATCAAATTTCGACTTTGATAAGGATTCAGGTCGAACCGAAACGCTGTCAAGGTTCATTTTATTTCATATATTTGGGTTGGCCTTTGATAAGATAAGAAGGCGTACTTTATTAACATTAAACATCACATACACACGGAGTAACGTTGCTGGCCGAGGCTCGTAGTTCCAGGTCTGAACTCCCTCAATACCAGAAGAAGGTGAGGGGCGTTAATTTGGGTTTCTGAGAGCGGCGTCCGGGTATATATATCACGGTATACAAATGGCTCCCTCAGCGCTTCAGGGTGATGGATAAGCTGCCGCATTTTTGGTCAATTTACCGGTAATATAAGAGGTATAAATACGTACACACGATAAAGCTCTCTGAGTTGTAGCCTCCTAGATGTCTGGGCCTGCAGCCGCGGCGGGAGAGTGTGTGGGGGTTCGTCCAAAATTTGAAAGGAAATCGACTCACAAAAGTGACGTACTGTTCCGTTTTCTGTTTGAGTCGTCCGGCCCTCCTCGGACAGCTTAGAAGAGGAACTTTCAATTAACGTTTTTCATAACGTTTTGAAACTTTATGAGAATTTCCTGCCCACCTAACCTATCAGAGGACCCTTAACTTACTGTTGTTGAAAAAAAAATCCCAAATTTATTGTCAATTTTTTTTCATTTTCAAATTACGTCCATATTCGGCCATACGGGCGAACGGCCAAAAGCGACGTTCTTTTTAAGAGGACAGGTTGCTTGTGGCTACGTGCTGGTGTTTGAGGGGATTGAGCTTCAGCTTTTGAACTCCTTCCCGCCTCAGAGTATGAACAGTAATCGTCCGGTGTGAAGCAAGCATGATACTGCGGATAATATTAACTGTGGGTGTTATTGTCTATTTCTGCCCGAGGTTGTGTTGGCAGACGGTGATAGATTGATCAATAATAACTGGTGATATTTATGAAACTAAAAAGAGTACAATATTTAGAAAATAAATGCTATTCACCATCTCATCCGTTTCTCGTTCGTTCACTCACTTCGCATTTCTTCCTTCCTATCCTCCACCTGCCTCTACCTCTCCTTCCCTCCCCCAGCACCGTAGGTCCGTCTATCCACCCGTCCCTCTCCCCCATCCTCGTCACTCACTGAACACCGCGACATGTCAGCTGACACAAAGCCAATACTTGATCAATCTCTCTCTCCTAAATCCAACCACTAAATCGCGTTATCAGACCAACAAATTTGGCGTCCTAGCGGGCGAGAAACGGACTTCCCAAATTTTTTGAAGGGAAATATTGCACCATGTGTCTTGTGGGCGCATATGTGATGTCCGCCCCCGGGAGATATAGTCACCGGGCTACCTAGCATGGCTCGTCAATCTCAGCTGTGACAGAGGATCTTACAGATTGCTTCAGGTGAGCTGCGTTTCTGTTGACACAACGTTCAGTCCGTTTGGAAATGTTATGGGTACACAGTTACAGCCTCGCTCCTGTGCCAGGTAAGTCCACTGCGGGCTCACTATAGCCCGTGTTATTTGGAACTTTTTGTTGCCAGTAGCTGAATCTATAACAACAACAACAACAGTTATGGGTGGATAATTTGACTACAACACGGGAGTAGAGGAGAGGAGGGGAGGGAGCGGGGTCTCCAAAGTGTGCGCTTTTCAATAGTGCACCACTAAATTGCAATTTTAGCATAAACCACTAATTGCAATTTTAGCATAAACTACTAAATGCAATTTTAGCATAAGCCACTAAATGCAATTTTAGCATAAGCCACTAAATGCAATTTTAGCATAAGCCACTAAATGCAATTTTAGCATAAGCCACTAAATGCAATTTTAGCATAAACCACTAAATGCAATTTTAGCATAAACCACTAAATGCAATTTTAGCATAAGCCACTAAATGCAATTTTAGCATAAACCACTAAATGCAATTTTAGCATAAACCACTAAATGTGATTTAGTGGTTTACGTTTGTTTACATCTTTGATGAGAAAATGGGACCTGGTGCTTGAAAGATGATCTGCATCAGGCCTGTTATTTACCCTGTCTTTGATACGTTCCTGTGTAGGGGCCTGAATATTTACAGGCTCAGGATATAGGTTTGGTTAGAGAAGAAAAACGAATCGAGGTGTCATGACGTATGGGAGAAATCTAAGAAATATTTTGATTAAACCTGTGCTGTTTCTACGATGGATTTTTTCCAGTTGCCGCTGAATTATCATGCCTCAGAAGGATGTTCGCTATAAAAGGTCGCCGCTATACCGTTACCGACATCAACAGCAACTACACAACCACCACCACCACCAACATCATCACCAACACCACCAGCACCACAACCACCACCATTACCCCAACACCACCACTGCCATCAGGCACAAGATATACTCACTGGGGGAGGACACTGGTACCAACTCGAAATAGAACCCATACATTTGTCTCCGTGACACTCGTGGCCGGCACGGTAACTGTGCCAGGTGAGGCAGTCCAGGTAGATGTGGCAAACATGGTAGGTATGGCAGGCATAAATGTGGCAGACATGACAGGTAAGACTGCCGTGACAGACATGATATGTGGAGCAGACTGAGAAGATGCGCGAGACAAGAGGCAGATCTGACAGGCAGATGCGGAAGGCAGGTGTGGAAGGCAGGTGTGGCAGGCACATGTGACAGGCGGGGATTGAACGCTTGCGTGGCAGGCAAGCCAGGCGCCGTGCAAGCCCAGGAGGTGTGGCACAGCTGTTGAGTGATCCCAGAGAACTGTGGGAACAGGCACAGTGTACACAATGTGGGGAATAGTGTGGTCAGTACGTGGAAGAGGGCGCGTTTATGTTGCCAAGGCGTGGAACAGGTAGTGTTCAATACGTGGGGCTGAAGCGTGGAACAGGTAGTGTTCAATATGTGGGGCTGAAGCGTGGAACAGGTAGTGTTCAATACGTGGGGCTGAAGCGTGGAACAGGTAGTGTTCAATACGTGGGGCTGAAGCGTGGAACAGGTAGTGTTCAATACGTGGGGCTGAAGCGTGGAACAGGTAGTGTTCAATACGTGGGGCTGAAGCGTGGAACAGGTAGTGTTCAATACGTGGGGCTGAAGCGTGGAACAGGTAGTGTTCAATACGTGGGGCTGAAGCGTGGAACAGATGTTTGAGATAATAACCACCAACTATAGTCAACCATATTAACCAATTTCATTCTTTCAAGATTTTGTGTAATCCATATTTTGTTTTCCTTAAAATCGCGAAATATATTTAAAAAAAAAATCATCTATTGTAGCTTTTGTGTTGAGATAATCAATGGATTTTGATTAATGATACTTTTTGCACAACCTTTTCAGTTGGTCTGAGCTTCCTGCGCGTAAGTAACACTTCATATGTTACTAGTGTGTTCCTTTTTCAACAAATTTTGAAAGTTCCTTTTTCATGTCATAAAACACATTAAACTTTTCAAATTTATGTTCTTATACTTCAAGGTTGGGAAAGGGCTCATTTTTTTTCTCTCTCCACATGATAACATACTAATTATTACTGAAGTTGTATGTCACCTAATAAGGCTAAATTATGGTACAGAAATACTCACAACTATACAAATATTATATTCAATTACTGAAGTATACTAGATAGCCAATAATTCAATTAAAAGAATATGCTTTCATAAATAGAGTTTATATTCCCTAATTACCATTAAGCATCATGAGAACAATAATAAAACAAGAACTCAAACAAAACCTTGTAACTCTGAAACAAATTGAAATGAAAACTAGCTATTCATCTGTCGTTATGATACCTTGTAAGACGAGCGACATATCTATGGATCATTAAGTACAATCAGCAAACTTTTCTGTGTAAGCCTTTGTAGGCTTTGACTCAGCTCTAGTATCTCAGAGAGTCTGTGTTACCGGTGAGACCTGACATCATGCAGACCTCATGTCAGTAAAGCTATTGGAATATCCTCCGTCATTATGTGGTAGAAGGAGGGGGAAGCGAAGTATCAGGAGAGAGCATCAAGCCATTACAGGTGTAGCGTTGGGAAGGGGTCAGGATAAGGATTTGAGATGGGACAGGGAGGAAGGAATGGTGCCCAAGCACTTGAACGATTTGGGAGAGAGAGAGAGAGAGAGGGAGAGAATATAAGAGAGACGTCCCTCAGGGCCTCAGCTCTCCATGGCTTTTCCAAGTGGCGACCGACAGCCCCGCGCTCCTTCGGCGTGAGCCATTCCCCCTTAATTTTCTCAGCTCTTCCAAAATTGGGAAAACTAAGATTTATTGTCGACAGTCGGGTAGCGGGTGTGTGGCTGGACCCATGTGTCACGGTTCTGGCAATTAATGGTACCGGCCTTGCCCTGTCGCACTCCCTTGACTGTAACTCACCCTGTTACCCTGCCCAGACTGTTAGACACTGTCACTCTGCCTGGACTGTTACTCACCGTCACTCTGCCTGGACTGTTACTCACCGTCACTCTGCCTGGACTGACTGTTACTCACCGTCACTCTGCCTGGACTGTTACTCACCGTCACTCTGCCTGGATTGTTACTCACCGTCACTCTGCCTAGGCTGTTACCGAGCCTAGTCACCATTTGCACTCAGATCTTCTGATCTTAGATCCACATAATTTTCCACGCACCGAATTATGAAGTGCCCAGTTATATTTATCGATGTGAATTCTTCTTTGATGAATTACAATACTCAGGTAAGTTATTCTTTGATGAGTTACAGTACTGATGTTACTTATTCTTTGATGAGTTACTATACGCATATAACTTAACCATTGACGAGTTATAATACTATTGTAATTTTGTTTTTGAGCAACAGCAATTTCTCAATTATTCTTTGATGAAATTTAATATAATCTAAGTATTATTATTATTTCATAAGTTAAAAGTATTTTCAAAATATCTACATCTCGGTTTAACAATAAGTGGTGATATTGCCCCTAATATACTTAGGTAGTGTTTTTATCATAAACCTTTAAAGTGACAAGTGTCGTTAATACCTATATAATATATATTGTAAGGGAATTTTCTCTAATGCACGTGAAATTAATCACAACAGCATATATATATAGAAAATATATTTTCCTACAGCTTTTCTGAAATAGAATCAAGAGTAAGGATTTTGATCATTGAATCATTACTTATCAATATAAATGGAAAACAAAATTGAAGTTTGTTATGGGGTTCACATATTTAATTGCTGGATTAAGTAAGCTGTTAAGCGAAGCCTCCAGACAGTAAAGTCAAGCTTGCAGATATTTCCGGTTTAGTGAATATGGCGATTGTAGGAAAACTAGAACTAATGAAGTGTATTTCTGAACAGAACTGGGATACATGGGGGACCAAATTGACATTTCCTGGTCAATTTGACTATCAACTTGACAGTCGGAGGTACACACATGATTACATTATCTTCTGAATATTATCGTCACACAAGGGATTCGAACCCACGTTGCTGAACTTCTCAGTTACACTACCTACTGGACTATGATGGGATATAAAAAAGTTTCTCAACCTGAAGTATCCCATCTGACTTATAGGGAGTTTGGTGGAAATTCGTTTAGCCTATCATGGTTCAGTCTGTGGTGTGTATGTGCCTGATGGGTTCAAGGACGCGGGTTCGAGTCTATCGTACAACCTCAATATTTATTCATAGATTCATCACGTTCGTTTTATTTCACTGTAAATATATAAATAAAAAGTTGAAAAAAGTGTAGGCTGATCAAGGTCAAGAACCACATGAGGAACCACATGAAGAACCACATGAGGAACCACATGAGGAACCACATGAGGAACCACATGAGGAACCACATGAAAAACCACATGAGGAACCACATGAGGAACCACATGAAGAACCACATGAGGAACCACATGAGGAACCACATGAAGAACCACATGAGGAACCACATGAGGAACCACATGAAGAACCACATGAGGAACCACATGAGGAACCACATGAAAAACCACATGAGGAACCACATGAGGAACCACATGAAGAACCACATGAGGAACCACATGAGGAACCACACGAGGAACCACATGAAGAACCACATGAGGTACTAGGAGAAGGCAATTAAGTTCGAGTGACTATTAGTAAGACACCAGTGAAATAGTAATAGCCGAATGTGGACCGTGAACAGTAACAGTCAGTCTGTCAAAGAACGTCACTTTTCGCTCGTATGCGTTACTAAGGCCAAAAATGGTCTTACTAGAAAATGAAAGCGGCTCACGAACGTGAATGTCCCGTTTTCTGTTTTAGGTACTCTGGTTTAGTCTGTTAGGTTAGGAGAGGACACTTTAAAGTAACAGTTTTCTTGACGTTTTGGAACATTAAGAGGAGTGACTGGTCAGTCACCGTGCCCGGAATGTTGGCTATTGTGTCGAGAACTCGTCGTCAGGCCATGCTCGTTCGAGCCCCGCCCGACCCCAAAGGTGCATTTACAATATTAACGTAATGTGTTCTCAGAATCAATATTTTCTCATATGTAGTTTTACATAATTGTATATTGGAATTTGGTGTACAGTTAGACCTGAATTAACTTAGGTTAGATGTTTAAGTCCTGTTGAGAATTATTTGTATTTGGAGTGCGTGGGTGAAGCATTTACAGATTTATGATTCGAACAGAGGCCGTTAGCGAAGCACTGTTCAAGAAATGTTCGAACGTCATCAGTTGTGTACGTGTAAAGTGTCATTCATAAGGGTTTTGGCGGCAAGATTAACGAGCATTAAGCCTTTGTTTACAAGGATGGGCTGCGAGAACTGGAATCCATCTCTTTGATTTCTGGATTCATGTCTTTGTTAGTTCGGATTTCTGGCTTCGTTAGTTGAAACTCCAGACTTTGTTTGCAGGGACCCATGACTTTATTATGTGAGTCCTCTGGACTCGCTACACTGGAAACATCGGTTTCATTAGCTATAAACCCTTTTGTTAGTTATATCCCCCGGATTTTGGGAGCTCGAACCCCTGATTTGATAGTCCGGAACGCCCACTTTGCTAGCTGGTAACCCCAGCTTCGATAACTGTCAACCTCGGCTTTGTTAGGTTGGAACTCCAGCTTCTCTCGCTGGTAATGCCGGCTTCGATAACTGCGAGGCTTCGTTAGCTCAAAACCCGTAACCTAATCCTTAATAACTTTTATGGTGATTCTTTTTAAATCCCGTTTAATTAAATCCGTTGATCGATGTCGCTGGAGTCAAGAATGAAGAAAAAAGTATGAAGTTTGCTGCCTGGAGGTAGAGGAGTGGCTGGTTAAATAGTGAAGAGGTGAGAAGATAATGAGGTGCTGAGATTGTGAGATGGAGTAGATAGATCGATGGTGAAGATATACAAGGTGTTGATAGAGAAGTCAATCCATCCTCAGGCAATGCTCGTCCCAGACACTGGTCCTAATGAGCACTAGTGTCAGAATTGTTCGAATGTGTTCGAATCTTGCGTGACACGTTTTTCATGCTTAAACGAGGGGTTGAGCGGCTGCTAGATCAATGAGCGTTGATTGAGAACAGGCCAAGAAAACCAGATAGAAGGAAATTGTTTGATATGTTCATGCTTAGATCATCAGGAAACATGTTCCCAACATGACTCTTAACCCCCCCCTCCTCCCTACACATCATCACCAGATTCACACTTTTCCACACACCTTCACAAATACCTTGACAGACACGGCCGATTGGTCAGCGCTCTGGAGTCGTAATCCTAAGGGTCCTGGCTCGATTCCCGATCAAGGCAGAAATAAGAGGGTAGAGTTTCTTCTGACCAATAAGGGTCCTAGGACTTACCCTAATAGTAAACTGCTCGTTATTTTCCCTACATTGTGACTTCTTCACTGTTACACCGTTTTCTGTTGTTTAGCATTCCTAAAGGGAAACTTGTGTATATTTTAGCGTTCCTATTTTCTCTTTTCGATGACATGACATTGACCATTTTCCAGTTGTCTGGCATCTTTCCAGATGTTAAGAAAGTATTGTAGGTGTTTTATATTGAGTTTCTGAGGATTTTGACTGCTTTGTTTTCAATGATCCACTGCCCTTGTTGTGTCTCGTATTCCAAGTGTCTTTCCTCGTACTCTCACTCGCTTCTCCATTGCTTCCTCCGTTACTACTACACTGCTGATGTGTGTACTTGAGACCTCCACTTCTCTCGTGTCTGTCAAGCGTTCAAGTTTATCCCGAAAAACAGCGCAAAACTTTGTCATTTAGCCTACTCGAACACGCGCCTTGAGAACCGGCGTCCTTTAAGCGTCCATTATTCGCACCCACCTCCGCTCCCTTGGTTACAATGAAGGAGGCATAATGAAGGAGGATTATGACGAAAGTCATTCACTTGATGCGTGAAATGCAATTAGATATATAGTCAGCAGATGGCGGATAATTAATGAGGCCAGATATAGAGTAGTTAGACTGTCTCATGCGAACAAACATCAAGAGGATAATTCTCATTTGTTATCCCTTCTGTTGTTGTCTCAACTGTCTTAGATCTGTTGTAGTTCAAGGGCTTGATATGCAGGCTTGGTTGGTTGGCGGACAGGTTTGGATAGCTGGCACTCTGTTTGTCTGACTGTCTGTCTGTCTGTCTGTATGTCTGTCTGTCTGACTGTCTGACTGTCTGTCTGTCTGACTGTCTGTCTGTCTGTCTGACTGTCTGACTGTCTGTCTGTCTGTCTGACTGTCTGACTGTCTGACTGTCTGTCTGTCTGCCTGTCTGCCTGTCTGTCTGTCTGTCTGACTGTCTGTCTGTCTGTCTGACTGTCTGACTGTCTGACTGTCTGTCTGACTGTCTGTCTGTCTGTCTGTCTGTCTGTCTGCCTGATATTTTGTCTGTCTACTTGTATCTCTCTGTATGTCTATCTGTTTGTCTGTCTGTTTTTCTTTATTTATATCTCTGTTACTCTGTCACTCTCTCTCTTTCTCTCTCTCTCTCTCTCTCTCTCTCTCTCTCTCTCTCTCTCTCTCTCTCTCTCTCTCTCTCTCTCTCCCTCCTCCTCCTTGACACATATTTTAACGAAGGAAGAAAAGTAGAAAAATAGAGAGAGAGTAACGAAGAAAAACACCACAGAAGAAAATAAGAAATTACTGCCGTTTACCCCGTGCGTGAGACAGGCAGATCACCGTCAACATTCTCTCCCGTCATCTCGTAAAAAATACATTTTAGGAAATAAAACCCGCAACATAAGGAAGCCTCTCAGGTTAGTGTATTGAGACGACGCAGCAGTTAGTGTCACTCTTAAGAACATAAGAGTAAAGGGAAACTGCAAGAAGTATATTAACCTCCATACGAGGCCTCTATATTGATTTATTTTAGTAAGACCACAAACTTATACAATAGTGCTCAACCGTTTTCGTTTTACGTCTGTTTGCTTCGGTATGTTGTTGTTGTTAAAGATTCGCTACTTGGAACAAAATGTCCCAAGTAGCACGGGCTATGGTGAGCCCGTAATTGATAGTTGCTTCGGTAGCGTTCCAGCCTACCGTCTCTCGTGACCAATTCCTCGTCCTATTACCCAAGCCAGGTGCTCTATTGGCTTGTCACTTTCTCCTCATAACCTCCTTACCTTGCCTCATCTCAAGCTAAAGGAGTATAAATAATGAAATCACAATGACGTAATATATCTATGAGATAATGTTTGAGGTAGGGGGGAGGATTCGAACTCGCGTCCGGGATCACCCCCATGGACCACGACTCCCAAGACACCAGGGGCCAGATTCACGAAAGCACTTACGCAAGCACTTACGAACGTGTACATTTTCCCCTCAATCTTTGACGGCTATGGTTACATTTATTAAACAGTTTAGAAGCATGAAAACTTGCCAACCAACTGTTGTTATTGTTATAAACAGCTTCCTGGTGCTTCGGAGCTCATTAACTGTTTAATAATGGGAAACAAAGCCGCCAAAAATTGAGAAAAGATGTACAGGTACGTAAGTGCTTTCGTGAATCTGGCCCCAGGAACGGTGAGAGATACTCCTCGGTCTCCGGTCGTAGAGCTTATAGTTGCGGGGGAAACAAATATATATGGTAATTTATAGAGAATGCTGGAATGTTTACTACCCTTTCTGCCGATATCTATTTTTTCCAATCACTTGGACTGGTTGGTATATTGAGACAGCCTGACATCTTGCAGGTCAGCTTTCGATCCCTGATGGTCGAAGAGGTTGGGCACTGTTCCTTCATCCCATCTTTACCATCCCAGCTCCTATCCTGTCCTCACATCTCTTATAACTGTTACTGAGTCTTTTTAGGCTATCCGTTCTTCCCCTCGCTACCTCCTTCCTTTCCTTCTGTCCATGCTCATGTTTCTATCCCAAGCTACGAGTCAAATACTGACCCATGTAAGTTTGGATAAGTTAATAAGTCAGTATACGACTATGGGGTTGTGAACCCAACAACCTTACAGTATATATGTTTCAATAATAGGTTGTTTTCACAAGTTATATTGCTACTGAATTATCGCCGCCTTGAGCACTGAGCTGTTCAACATGTTCATTGCTATTCACTGTTTCTTATACGCAATAAAAAGAACAATTTCTACTCGTTCTGTTTACTTTACTTAACGCGTTCTGGTCATGATATTAGCCTCGTAAACTCGTATGTTTAGCTGTAGTGACAGTGAAGGAAAGTTGATGAAATAAACACAGACACGCTTGAGTAGAAACAAATAACTGGGAATTATGCATTAATGTGATTGGCTACAAGTCTGTCTACTTGTGTGTCTACTGCATATAAGCTTGTTCTCTACCACAGAAGTAGAAAAAGGTGAAGGATAGGTAGAATTAAAATAAACAGCAGGAAAGGTATAAATAGACTTAGTAGAATGACAATAAATAATAAATATATGCTTTCCAGACCTATCCTCCCTCTCAAACCAATCCCCACACTCAGACCTATCCCTGCTATCAGACCCATTAATGCTCTCAGACCCATTAATGCTCTCAGACCCATTCCTGCTCTCAGACTCACCATCCCTGCTCTCAGACCCATTAATGCTCTCAAACCCATCCATGCTCTCAGACCTATCCCTGCTCTCAGACCCATCCCCACCTCAGACCCACCATCGTATATTTATCCTTGCGATAAAGTTG